CAGGTTGTTGTGAAGTTCTAATGAAGTACTTGTAAAGTGCCTTGCAAACCTTAAAGTGCTATATGTATTTTTTCTCTTTAATCTCCTGACAATTTAGCCTTTCCTATGAACTTAATTTTTGAACTTGTATTATAATCATACGTTTCTCAATTAGATCATCTTTCCCTGAGGGCAGGGGTCGTAATTTTTTTCATCTTTAGGCACCTAGCACATTAATATATCAAATATGATGCACTCAAATGCTTGTTGATTCCAGTTAACGAAAATGGAATGGCAAGAGACATTTACAAAATAGAATAGATTTGCCAGCATTTTTGTAATGATTGCTTTTCACTGTTGTCTAAATTACAACAAAAGAATCAACAAATATTTATAACATGTATTATGTACCAGGTACTGTGCTAGATACTAGAGATGTCTTCTCAGAGTTTACAGTTTAGTTGAGGCAGAAAACATTTATTAATATATGTACACATAAAACAGACAAGATAATTTTTAGGGGAAATAGTAGCTGCAGGAATAAAATAGGCTTCACGTAAAGGTCATTACTGGCTGAACCTCAAAGGAAACTAGAGATTCTAAGAGATAAAGGTGAGGATGGAGTGCATTCCAGGCATGGGGTATAGCCATTGAGAAAGCACAGAACTAGGAGATGAAAGTGTCCTATGTTAGGAACAGAAAGGTCAGTTTGACTGGACTATAGTATGTAAAAAAAGTAATATGTAATAAGGTTGGAAAAGTAGGTTAGGGCCAGGTTGTTAAGGGCTTTCAGTGCCAAACAAGAGAAATTCTTAGAGCTTATATAAAGTTACTAACAGGAGTTCTTAACTCAGGTCCCATAATTTATCTTTAAAAAAACTTTGATGACTATTTCAATATAAGTGGTTTAGTAACCTTATGTATTTTATTTTATTAATTTAAAAGCATTATTCTGAGATACCCATAGGCTTTATAACAATTGCAAAAGGGCAATCACACAAAAAAAGTGAAGAATCCCTGCACTAGAGTTTACTGAGAAGAGTAATATAGTCAGACCTGCATTTCTGGAAAATCACTTTGGTAGCTGTGTGGAGGATGGAGCTCGGAGACTTGAGGCAAGATCAATTAGATGGCTATTACAATAATCTAGGTGAGAAGTAATGAGGTCTTAAACTCGAGGGGTAGCTGTGTAGGTGGAGAGGAGACAGATTAATAGAAATGAAAATAGAAACAAGATGTGTCAACAGATTGGATTTGTGGGATGAGAATAAAGCATGGGGGAAATGATGCAGAAGTTGTAAACCTGGGTGACTGAAAGGATAATGGTTCCCGCTACAGAAATGGGGAAGTTCAGAAGAGGAGTGACTTTGGAAGGAAGAGTTTTGGATACCTCTATTCCTGTGCCTATCCAATTTGGCATGTACCAAACGTGACATAGGACTAAAGCTCGAGAGAGATATTAGAGCTGGATATCAAGCTCACAGGTGGGGGGGTGAGCCTTGTTGGCATAGGGATGATAACTGAGCCCATACGGAGCTGATGTCAACTACAGGGAGCATAACATGAGGTAAGGAAGAGAGCCACCTTCTCTCCAAACCACAGTGAGACTACCAAACACAGAAGTACTTAAGATGGAGTCTGGAAAAGCAGCCACATTTGATCTAGTAGATACAGAACAAATCAGCATCATCCACAAGTAGAGAAAGAACTGATGGAGTCTGAACAAAGATCAAGGCATACTATTTTCACTTTCTTTGTTTTTTTTTCCGTGTTTTTTTTCCTTTTTGTTCTTTCACAACATGACTAATGCGGAAATAAGTTTAACATGGTTGCACATGTTTAACCTATCTCAGATTACTTGCCATCTTGGGGAACGGGGTATGGAAGAAGGGAGGGAGAAAAATTTGGAACTCAAAATCTTATAAAAAATGAATGTTGAAAAATGTCTTTATATGTAATTGCAAAAAATACTATTTAAAAACAAAATAAATAAGTATTGGAAGTGACACAATTTTAAAGGCACTCAAGGACTGATTCTTCAAGATACCAAAATAGTTTCTACTCTGCGTATGCATATACATATATATATATATTTTAAACTATGTTTCTAATTTAACATGGCACTTCCAATACTATCCTACTTCTTTGATGCTTCTGAACTTTCTGCTGCTCTCTTCTAACGGATCTAAAATAAGCCATTGATGCTCTTTTCTTTTCTCCCCTTTTTTTGGTATCACTATCAACAGAGGCTAGGTGGTACAATGTATAGAGCACCAGGCCTGGAGTCAGGAAGATCTGAGTTCAAATCCAGCCTCAGATACTTATTAGCTATGTGCCGCAAGGCAAGTCACTTAACCCCTATTTGCCTGAGTTTCTCATCTGTAAAATGGGGACACACTGGTGAAGGAAATGACCAATCATTCCCGTACGTTTGCCAAGAAAATCCCATGGACAAAGTTCATAGGGTCACATAGATTCGGGAACAACTTAACAACAAAATCACTATTCCCCACTACCACTCAACTTCATCCACCCTGCCCCCTCAAACCCTCCCTTGTAACAAAAGTAGTTATACTAAACAAATCCACATATTGGCAACGAATGAAAATGTGTATCTCTCATTCTTTACCTCTTGTCCATTGTCTCTCCCACCAAGCAGAACTTACCGTTCTTCTAGACTGATTATTGCATTTATCCCACTTCTTAAGTCTTTCACAATTCTTTTTTTTTTACAATGTTGTAGTCATTATGGTGCAATAATATTTCATTACATTCTTATACTATTATTTGTTCAGTCACTCCACAATTTATGAGTACTGTTTCTAGTCCTTTGCTACAATAAAAAAGTACTAAAAGTTTTGCATATATGGGTCCTTCCCTCTTTCTTTGATCTCTTTGAGTTGTAAGTCTAATACTGGTATCACTGGGTCAAAAGGTCTGCACAATTTGGTGACTTTCCAAAATGGCTGAACCACTTCCTGGTTCCATCAACAGCACACTAATGTGTATCTTCCCACAGCAACTCCAACAACTGTCATTTTTGTCAATCTCAAGGGTGTTAAGTAGAACCGCAGAGTTGTTTTAATTTGCATTTCTCTTATTTATTAGTGATTTGGAACAACTTTGCATGTGAAAAGTTAAAAAGCTCGATTTCCTTTTTTGAGAACTGTATAATCATGTCATTTGACCACTTATCCTCTGGAGAATAGCTCTAGTTCTTAGGTATTTATATCAATTCCTTAGTTACCTTAGAAATCAGAACTTTATATTAGAGAAGTTTGTTGCAAATTTTCCCTGGCTGTTTCCCTCAAAATTGAGTTAACTTTGTTTCAACTTTTTTTTTTAATAATAAAAACTATCCATTTTTATCTCCTTTGACCCTTTCTTTCCCTTGTTTAAACAAGAACTCTTTCCCTATCCAGTTGTGAAAGATATTTCCTTCTATGCTTTGATGATCTTTTATATCTAGACTATGTATCCATTTGGAGTTTGCTGTGGTATGTGATGTCAGATGTTAGTCTACATCTAATTTCTGCCAGACTGTTTTTTGTTTTCCCACCAGTTTTTAGTGAATAGTTAGTCATTACCCCAGAAGTTAGTCTTTGGTTTTATTGAACACCATTTTGCCATATTCAATTACTTCTGGGTCGTGTGCCTAGTCTGTTCTGGAGATTCCAAAGGAAAATACTATATAGATAGTACTTCTTCCATAAAAAGGTGACTAAGAGATTGGCAACTACCAAAACAAACACTTATTTTCTCAACTCTATACAAATCTTTATGAAAAGTCTATGTACATTTTTAGAATATCCTAGGTTTTTTCGTTTGTTTCAACCTGTAAACGGAACCGGCATGTTTTCACGGAATTTCTTACATACCACACCTTTATGGTCTCACAAACCAAAAGGTGAAAAAACAAAGATTGCACCTAAAAAAAAAAAGCATTAAATTTGGAAGAGAATGAAGCCTTGAGGTTCTCCTCAAGGTGTATTAAATATGTGTTAAAATTAGATAAGACTTACAATGGCTTTGTTCAATGACCCACTGAGTGTTAATGTCAATTGAGGCATAAAATAGATACATGCTCACCTAAGCTGTTTGACAGTGTCATAAAAGAGATCCAGAGTCCAGAAAGGACTTTTTTTTTTGACAGTGGGTGAATTCTAAATGGATCTATTCATTATTTATATTCATTATTTGCCCCAGCAAAGGCTTCTCAATAAATTCCAGAGTGATGGGAGACTATTCTAACCATCTATACTGAAAAAAATTAACTTTAAAAAAAAAAAAAAATGGCTATTACTCAGGAAGACATCCATCTGGACCAGCAGCTGCCTGTTGAGCTAATTTATCAGTAAATATAGCATGGTCAGAGGACCCCTGCTCTTGTTCTCAGTGTTCCCTCCCTCCTCAAAACATCTTGTATACAAGTATCTACATAAACGTTGTATCCTCTTGGTAGAATTTACACTCCTCTGTACATGGACAATCTTTGTTATTGTTGCTTTATGTGCCTTTCACAGAGTAGGTATTGCTAGGTATGCTTGTTGAATGAACGGAAGGAGATAAACAGTGACCTGGACCCAGAATTCAAGTGAACAGGCTGGATCTGCTCACCACCCCCAATTATTCCACCACCACCTCCCCAGCTCAGCTTCTGAACAGCCCTCACCTCAGGGTGACGCCATGTGGCTATGCATCACGGAGTTCAGCAACCCCCTTTATTTAGAGAATGCTGAAAAAGGAGGCTGAGGCTGGCAGAGTGTGGGCACCAAGGAGAGGTGGCAAAGAAACAAAAGTAGCCACTGGAGATGAAGTGAGCTTGAAATGTCCAGAGGCCCACCACCCCTCCCCCCAGCACATGGAGGAGGGATGGTGGGACTCCTGTTGCCCCCTCAGGCTTGTGCCTGCAGCAGACCTTGGCCTGGTCTGACCCTAAGCAAGATGAACAAATCACTGTGCACACTGCCTGTGTCCAAATGTCATTTAATCTTTCAGCATGAAAGATCTTCACAGTATCAAAAGTAAAGAATAAAAAAAAAAACCAAACACAGAGAGAAGCGCTGGGCAGGCAATTCCACCAGCTCCTTTGCCCCACAGCGCCCTGGGGGGAGCAGCCCGTCCCAGTCCGGGCTCCAAGTGTGGAGGCTGGCTAGCACCAGAAATCGGCTTTTCGAAGATCCAGAGTTTGTTTCCATCACAGCTCAGTGTCAATCCAGGTTTTGGTTCATCCGGGGAGAGGGGTTCTTAGGTGGTCAGGTGGCAAGTGGGCAGGTAGGAAAGAGCCACCATGAGGGCAGGAGGGGGAGGGAGAATATTTTCTCTCCAGACATTCAGCCAATACCCAAGAGCTACGACCATCCTGGAGAAGAATAGTTCAGTGTGGACCAGGCAGGGGCTGGGGAAAAAAGAGGGTGATAACACAACCAGCTTCTCTTCCTGTTCCATAGTTTAGGCTTTTAACATACATCAGGAATGGTTCCAATCCCTTCACTACCCCCACCTCCACCCCCTTATCACCATGGCAACAGGAGCAGGCCTGCCTGCCATTTCCGCTCCTTGGGTTACAAAAGGAAATAAAAAACATTTATCAGAATATCTGGATTGCCTTCGATCTCTATCCCCATTTCCCCAATCACAGGAGGGAGAACACACGCCTGGGAGGAGAAAGACAGGACAGAATATAGTGGGTGCTTTCAAAAGGTATTCTAGGCCTCAAGGAAGGGAAACCACCTCCTGGGGTGAGCACAAGGGGTCCTTTTTGCTACAGAGCTGGTCCTCCCTAGGGCAAGAGGGCACTACCACCACCAAATTCTGCTCCCTTGGGCTGTGGAAGAACCAGCATGTCATGTTGAATGCCAAGCTCCTGTCTTCTCTGATGGAAGAAGGAGCGCAGCAATTCTTCCTGAGGCAGCAGCCCCAGCAGCTAGATGGCCTCAGGCTATGGGTCTCCAAAGCCCTGAGATTTTGCTGCTCTCTACAGGTGTTTAGCTCTCTGTTACCTTGACCCCTGCTCCTCCAACTAACTTCCCATCCCCAGACATTCCTAGATAAGTGTCAACACCTGGTTTTAACAACTCTGGCTGCTTAGCTCTCCATACCCAAGTCAAAAGGGGAAGGGGAAAAGGAAAGGGAATGAGTGGAGACTACCCTTGCCTTCCAGTTTCAGGTCGCTCAGCCAACTAGCCCAGAAAAGGCTGGTTGGGAATGTCGGCTCCACAAATCCAAGGAAAAAGGACTGAGATTAGAGAAGGAGCACAAGAGAACATCAGGGCATATGATACTAGTTCCTACAAGCCTATGAGTAGAGTTAGAAGGAAACCAGGGGAAAAGTCAGAGCAATAATTCTGAGCCTGTGGTCTCTGTGCTCCTATCTATTCCTTAATCCTGACTCCCTGATTCCCTTCTGGAAGGGAACTTGGGGCACAGGGAACAGAAGGGAAGGAGAAATTTGTAAAAGTGAAGAATTTCATAAAACACTGAGTCTCATCAGCAAGTACATGTCTATCCTAAGGAAGGGCTCTCCCCATAGGTCAGAGGTATTTGTTCTGCCTGTGGAAACTTGATCCGCTTTAACCTTCCACATCCTGGGTCAGCTCAAGTGTGTAGGGGGCAATTTTGATTGCCCAGAGTGATGCTTAGGAGTCTGTGGACAGACTAGGTCCGCCAAATGGGAAAGTGGCTAAGGAAATCCCAGCCTCACTCAAAGGATACTCAACATTCCTGCTGCATTCTGTAAAGGCTCCTCACCCCACCACTGATGGCAAAGTTAGGAACAGAACCCTAGGAACTTCCAGTGCTCCATCCCAGGGTAGAAAAGAGATAATCTAGAACAAGGTTGAGGGGCTGGGGTTAGTTAGCTGATTGGGCAGATGCTGCAACGGGATTTTTAAAAAGAGGGCAACAGTCAGGTCAATATTCAGCTTTTAGGGAACGGGCTGCCACTAAACTCTCAAAAGAGTTTATTACTTCTGTGTTCAGCAAGTCAGGCCAGAGGCCCTAAGTAGCTGGTTTGGGGGACACTGACAGTAGTGAATTTGGAGTCCAATTAGAACCTGGGAGGTTCTAATCCTGGCTAAACTACTTACCAACTTTAACCTTGAGTAAGCTACTGTAAAATAAGGGAATAGGGGTACAGGAGGTGGACTAAATAATCTCTAAAGGGCCTTTCGGTTCTGGATCATAGGGATAGGAAGTGTCCTGTTTTCAGAGGAAGGCAGGAGGTTCAGAGAGCACTTCTAAAAGCAAGGAGGAGGTAAGGGGAGGAGCAATGAGGGAGATTCCTGGAACCATTTATTCCAGAATGAAAATGACTGCCTGTAGCTAGTTACTTGGGAGGTTTCCCAACCTCACTGGAAGGGAGGAGAGGAAGGCTCGTGTTGGTAAGGGAGAGGAGAGAGCAGGTTCTCTCTCAATTCCTGAGGACAGAATGCAGCTGCGAGTGTACCAGGGACCTGTCCAGCCCCTCCCTGATGAGTGTAGCTGTGCAGCCCTGATCTATATCCCCCCAACCCTTCACTCCTCACTGCAGAGGGTGCTACAAAGGTGGGAAGACAGGCCATGTAGCAGCTGGGGCCCTGCGCCAAGTTTAACAAGACCATCGTCCCATGAGTTCCCCCTCAAGAAATGGAATCTCAATTTTCCTCCCTTTTCAGTCAGTTTCCCCAGGCCCTGAAGGACAGCTGCTCCAGCCTTTGGTCCAACAATCCAAGCTTTCAGGCAGACAGCTAACCATGGAGGCCAGAGACCAGCAGGCTGAGGGACATGCCTGGAAGGAGATATGGAGGGAGTGGTGGTTCTCTCAGTACACAACAATGTATGGTGGGTGTGGTGCTTACTGCAATCTCCCCATCTGGGTGCCAAACTCCCCATTTTCAGACAGTTTTCAACCACCCTGCTGACACCTCCCTGTCTTCTACAAAGTGCTCTTCACATCCCAAGGACCTTCGTTTCTCTTTGATGCCCCTGTTTCTGGCGACAGCGTAAGATTTAGACTCAGGGCCTGAGTCCAAATTCTAGCTCTATGATTTACTACCAGGTTTAACCTCGGAGAAATTCCTTCCCCTCTCTGGGCCTCCACTTCTTCAGCTGTAAAATGAGGGGGCTGAATGAGATGATGTGTAAGGTCCCTTCCTGCTCAAAATCTACCCCAATCCAGACACTCCTGGGTCTGCTCTGTTTAAGGGTGTCCTATTACTTTGCATCTGGTGTGCTCTGTGTGTGTGGAAAGTACAAGGAAGGCCCTTCCCTGGAATACAAGTTGGATATGAAGTGAAGGCTCAACACCAGGGTTCCATGCTCCCTACAACCTCCCTGTCAACAGAAGAGAAGCAGGGGAGCTAGGCTTTCGCTCTCTGCCGGCCTGTGCTGGAAAAGGTCCCATGTGGGGGAGGGATGAGATGATGACCACTGACTAGTGTTCCCATGCATCTCAGGAACCCATAGAGAAGGGAAACTGGAGTAAAGGAGAACAAAGGGACCAGGCAGGAGGGAAGGCATGGAAAAACCAATAAGAAACAACAAAAATAATATCCTTTTTTTAAATAAAATAAAAAAATTAAAAAGTTTTTTTATTGGGTCCAGCATGGCCCTTCTACATACCCAGTGGGAGGGTCAATGTCAGTATGATACAGAGAAAGGACACGGCCAAGGTCCCCAACTCTTGGGGTCTGTCAGTATTCTCTCCCATTTTATCAAAAAATGAGACATGAAAAAGACAAAAGGGACCTGGACCCATCAGAGTCTTGACTCTGGGGACTTCGTAGCTGGGGAGAGGGAAGGCCCCAGGCATCCCATTAAAGGATCCTTTAGAAACCAAGTCACCTTGGGATGGGGGAATGGAGCACAGGACATGATCTCCTTTCCTCCTAACTCCTTGCCCACCTGACCACTAAAGACAGATCCAGAGTAAGCAGGGCTCAGAGTCAAAGAAAAAAGGAAGGGCAGGAAGAATACCTGTGCCTTCAGGCTCACAAAATGATGTGCAGAGGGGAAACAATGCCACAATGGGGAGTAGGAACAGGAGAGGAGGCAGGAATGCTACACGGGATGCCAAACTTTCCAGTCCACAGAGCGTGCATATGAGGCCTCCCATAGCCAGGCCAGTCCTGGAGAGAGGACATAGTGAGGCAGAGTGTCTGGGAAGAGGAGTGGGTAAATGGGGAGGAGAAGCCCTCCCTCTCCTCCCCCTCACCCCATGTGGCACACCCACAGGCATACAATGCCCTGCCCCCATCACACCTCACTGAGCTGCGCTGGAAGTGATTTTCTTGAGGGTGAAGTTGGTCCAGTTCACAGCCACTTTTTGACGCGTCTGCTTTGCAGAATCCAGGCAGAACCTGGCAGGAAAGACAAAAATCAGAGGATCCCTTATGTTCCTCCCATCACACCATGCTGTGTGTGGCCTCTCCACAACTAAGGTGAAAACCAAACTGATCAGAACAGTCTGATACACTTGCCACTCCACCCCAAACCGTCAGCACCACTTTCCTTACACTCTTCTCATACATCAGGTAATGTGATGTACTGGAAAGAGCACCAGATATGGAGTCAGTTTTTGTTGCTGCTGTTCAGTCATGTCCGACTCTGAGATCCTATTTGGCGTTTTCTTGGCAAAGGTACTCCAGTGGTTTGCCATTTCCTTCTCCAGCTCATTTTACAGAGGAGGAAACTGAGGCAAACAGGGTTAAGTGACTTGCCCAGGATCACACAGCTACTAAGCGTCTGAGGCCAGATTTGAACTCAGGAAGATGAGTCTTTCTGACTTCAGGGCCCGGCGCTCTATCCACTGCACCACCTAGCTGCCCTTGAATCAAAAAACGTGGTATGAAATCCCAAGGCTATTACTCATTGCTGTGGGCAATGTTGGGTTAGATGATCTCTAAGATATACTCTAACTCCAAATCCTACAACCTAGAAATGCCGTCCTATGACAAAGAGGTAGAAAATTGCAAAAACTGAGCACTTATCTGCTTTGGTTTCCAGGAGGATGAGATCTGGGGGAAGTGCAGGAAGTGGGAGAGGGGATTATTGGGAGGCCAGAAATAAACCCCCAAAACTCAGGTTAAACAGGGGTTCCCTGGTCCATTACAGATTTGGCACAACCTAGTCCAGGACCACCCAAGCTGGCCAAGGTGTTCCTTGTTAATGGACCAGATAACACTAAGACCCTAGTCAATGAGAGCCACTTATGACTGGGATATGTGTGGCCACTCAGTGAGAAGTCACAGAGGTCCAAGGACTTAATGGACAAACCAGGAAGACTATTAATACTTGGATCCTGACAGATGCCTCATCTAATCCCATTCTTTTCCCTGACATGTACTTTGGAAACAAAATAGTAACTAAGCTGACCTTGGTAACCCTGGAATCAATTAACATTAGGTGACTACAGAGAAAAGGATGGGGAAAGAGGAGTAAAGGCTACTCCAATCATCCCGACTGAAGCACAAGATGGGCTAGGAGGGCTCTCCCTACACTTCCAACTCACTGTCACCCAAAGGAGAAGACAGGTGGCACACAAACTTTGGGGAAGTATAGGCTAGAAGGGAAAGGTTCTCCTCAGACTTCCCTGTCAAGAACTTCTAAAGTTTCTGTAGCTCTCCAGGGTCTAAAGAGTGATGAAGGCAGGTGGTTGACCAGAGTTTCTTGGTGGAGCAAAGGCCCTAGGCATTAATTTTAAATGGAGAAGGTAGTGACAGACCCTCAGATTCAGAGTATCCCCATGGATTTTACCCCCCTTCCCCACCTACCTCTTGAAGTATTCCACCTCCCGGTCCGTCTCATCCATCTCTACTCCATCCACATCCTTGGGCAGGAATACGTCATCTAGCAACACATACCCAAAGCCACTCAGCACCACCATCTAGTTTCCTGGTCCCAAAGTACAGCTCACCCAGAAATGGCTATTTCTTCCAGCCTAGGACTCCCCAACCACCCCTCAACAAGGACTTACAACCTATCATCTCTGCCTCATTGACAAATACAAAGTCCAAGACAGAGGTTTTTCTTGTGACTAACAGAGCCAGTCCATGGTCAAGAGGTGGCCTTCTGAGCATGGAAAGAGGGAGGGGCACTGCTGGAACAGGGCAGGATGTTGTTTAGCTTCATATTCTGACAAGCCCCTCAACTCATCCAAACTGAAATCCAAAGCCAGAACACACCTATCCTAAGGTGACACATGTGGGAGAAAAGGGCTAGAAAAAAATGAAGAAAGTCACCTGGCTCTATTTTCACTCACCCAGAGAGGTGGTAGACTTCTCCATCTTGTTCCGGTTCTTCCTTTGCTTCCCCTTGGTCTGTGGTGAGGCCCCCAGGCTGGCCGGGCTCCCGAGTAGCCCATGGCCAGGGCCAGGTGGCTGCACGGATTCCTGCTCTGGCCGGTCCATTTTGGTCTCACTCTTCCGGCTTCTCCACAAGTTTCCTTTCTCAGCCTTGGCACTCCAAGCCCAGTTCTGCCCTGACCGGCTCCCTCGGGGTCCTTCTGGGGGCTCTGGGCCCTTGGCTGGTTGCCTGGCTCCTGAAGCCTGTCCCTTGGTGGGAGGGCTCTCCAGCTTGGCCTGATGCCCAGGTACTCCATATGTCTCGTTTTTCTTGGCCTGACTGTTCTGCCTTTTATTCTTCTTTTGCCTCCCCCCTCCTCCAGGTGGGGGCTCGGGGAGCTCAGGTCCATTGACAGAGACTGCATCCTTCACATTCCGGCCCGGCCCTTCAGGGACTGAGTCAGCAGCCTTTGGGGACTGAACCCAGATCATCCGGGAGAGGTTGGGCACAGCACTAAGCCTTTTAAGTAGCCCATTCTCAGTGGTGGGAGGTGGGGGAAAAGGCACTCTCTCATCCTGGGGCAGGCTCGGCTCACTGGGGGAGTGTAGTGTGTGGTTCTGGGAGGAACCCAAAGTCAAAGGTGAGAGATCTAGGCCAATCTCCTGCAGGTCAGATGAGCCATTGAGGCGCGAAAGCAGGTCCCTCTGCTCCAGCATGGCTGCCTTTTTAGGAAAGTCATTCACATCCAGATTAAGGTCATAAACACTGAAGCTGGCTCGGATGGACTCTTTGATGGTATTCTTAATCTCCTGCAAGCGGCTGGTCAAGAAGCTGTTGACCCGCTCCAGTTCAAGCTGGGGCCACTCCAAAAGCTTCTCCCCTGATGGTTCTGCACCCCGACCAGCCATGGAGCTACGATCAGCACGCTTAGAGCCCTCAGCTTCCAGCTGGGCTTTCTCCTTCTCCTGCAAATCCCAAATGCAGAGTTAGCTGGAAGAGTCATTCTAGTAGCAATGACATGGGACTTGAGATCATGACACTTGGGAGTCAGTTCTTTTCCATTCATTCAAAACGCATTTAACAAAAGCATATTAAGTGCTATGCACCATACTACTCACTGAGGACACACAAAAACAAGGGCAATTTTCCTGCACTCCAGAAGCTTACATTCTCCTGAAGGGATACAACATGTACACCTAAAAATAAACTATACATAAAAGTGTACACAAAGTAATTTCTGGGAGGGAGAGGGTGGTAGCAATTAAAGGAGATCAGGATAGCCTGAGCACTTGAGCTAAGCTTTAAAGGAAGCCAAGATTCTATGAGGCAGAAGTGAAGAGAGAATGCATTCCAGGCCTGTGGCAAAGGCCAGGACACATGTGACATACGATGAGCACTGTAGCATCATGTGTATGGAGAGCAGCCAGTAGTTCACTATGGCTGGAATATAGTGCAAAGAATAATGCACAATGAGCCAGGAAAGGTAGGCAGGAGCCAGATATGAGAGTTTAATTTCATAGCAGTTTATTAGGAGTTGAATCAATACTATTTTGTTCATATCATCTAACAACTTGTTTTGACAATAATATGGAGTGCTACCTTTGAGAACTGAGACAAGACCAGAGGACATAGAGTAAGTCTTGAAAACAACGAAGATCCATATATAATCTCTATCAAATTGCTTACCTTCTCAAGGACAGGGGAGGGGATGGAGGGAGGGAGAAAGAACTTAGAACTCAAAATTTTTTTAAAAAATGAATGTTAGGGGCAGCTAGGTGGCGTAGTGGATAGAGCACCGCCCTGAAGTCAGGAGGACCTGAGTTTAAATCCGGCCTTTAAAACACTTGACACTTACTATCTGGGTGACCCTGGGCAACTCACTTAACCCCAATTGCCTTTAAAAAAAAAAAAAAAAAGAATGTTAAAAATTATTACCTAATTGGAAAAAAAAATACAAAAATTTTCACTTGGCAAAAAATTGAAGGGATAAGGCATGGCACACTACCTACTACATTAGAAACCATATTGGGTTGTTATTTTAAAATTTTCTTTTGTAAGGATTTGCTTTTCAGGACTGTGAACCATTGACCTTAATGTATAACTAACCAGTACAGCCTGGCACACAGAGCTGTTAAACTGGCTTCCATAGGTCATCATCAATTAATGCTTTTTTCCAGTCTGAATTCCCTTATGCCTATTAGGAGACCCTGCAATAAAAACTTTTTTTCTCATTAAAAAAAGAAAAAGAAAAGAATGCAGATCACAAGACCTGGGAACATTTAGAATGTAATCAAAATGTGAGAAGGGGGAGTTATACAGTGCTTAAAAGATGCTACTGGAATCGATGTTCATGTGGAACTGTGATACCAGACTGTCCCTACAGGTAGCTGGCACTGCAGAATATTCCGTTATAAAAGCCCCTAGTATATATGGAAGTTTGGATGGAAAGAATTAAGACCTTGACAGATGAGAGCAAGGTGATGGGAGCATATCCAAGTCTAAGTAACAGTACAAAATGAGTTTCCTTTTCCATACTGAGGGTATACCAACTGTCCAGTGTAAAGTGTTTACAACCCTAGAGCTCCATCTGATATGGGAAGGGGTTCCACTGCTCAATAAAGGCTTGGGCCTATAGGCCTTGAAGAACTAGACAATCTGAAACTATGTGGGCATTAGGTCTGCCACAGACCATGTAAATCACAAGAGTATGACAGATCCAACTATCCCCCCATTATCAATGCCATTTTAACCATTTCCTCCTGAAACAGAACATAGGGAGACCACTTCAGAAAGAATGAGAATAATCACCTTGGTACCATATGTGGTGATTTTCCTAAGAGTGTTAAGTTTTGCTAGTGTTTTGTTTGAAATGGGGTAGACATATTTAAACAGGTTTGTCTGAAAAATATCTGGGGGTTTTAGTGGACTGCAAGTTCAATGAGTCACCAGTATGATGTGGAAGGCAGAACAACTAATGCAATCTTGGACTTCATTGAGAGACAAAGCATCCGGGAATAAGAAGGTGATCATCACCAGACCATATCTGCAGTATTGTATTCTGCGCACCACAGTTTAAGAAGGATATAATTAAGCTCAGGAGCATCCAGAGGAAGGCAACAAAATTAGCAAAGGGCCACAAATCCATAATAATAGGTTGAAGGAACTGGGGATATTTAAGCCTGCAGAAGGAAAGACTTGGGGGAGACATGATAGCTTGCTTCAATTATATGAAGGACTGTCATATGGAAGAAAGATTAGACTTGTTTTGTTTGGTTCCTCAGGCTAAAACCAGAAGCAATGGGTGGAAGCTGAAGAGGCAAATTTGGGCTTGAAAAACTTCCTAACAATTAGAGCTATCCCAAAGTGGAATGAGTTGCCAAGGGAAGTAGTAGCTTCCCCCTTATTAGATGTCTTCAAGCAGAGGCTGGATAACCACCTGGTACGTAAGGTATAACAGAGACTCATTCTTGTGTATGAGTAGAATTAGAAGGCTCCAGAGAACCATTCCTAAATTCTGTGAAGTGTTTTCTGGATTAAACAATATTGTAAATGTAAAGGAGAAACCTAGAGGGCCTATGCACCTATATCGTGAACCTGAAAGAAACAGAGAGTGAACAGAAGACCATGAGAGTGGAGAGGATAGTGAAGACCATTAGACAAGTACACAGGAGTTGGCCAGCTTGACTCCAATTTAGTAAATATACACATAACCCCATTTTTGCATGTGTTTTTATTTTATATCCCTTGTGTAGCCCTGACGAAACATGGCCATTCCATCTATTAGTCTACTAATAAACTTCAGCATCACCTCTAACTAGGCATAAGCCTTGCTAGAACTGCTTACATCATGGCTGAGATGTGAACCATAAGGGAAATGTGAGTATCTGGTTCATAAAATCTGACCCCTCCTGCTGTAGTGGGTCAGTCCCTGATTACCTGTGAGACAAGAGGCAAAGAGGTCTGGTCTTAGACTGAATCCCAGCTCTACCACTTCCTAGCTATGTCACCTTGGGTAAGTTCACTTCCCTTCCCTAAGGCTGTTTTCTCATCTGTGAAAGCAGGAAAATAAAACCTGTACTACCTACTTCACAGATCTCAAGTGAGGAAAGGGATGACATTACTACAGACTGCTTTAGACAGTGAGCTCCTTGAGAGCAGGGATTGTTTTTTTTGTTTTGTTCTGTTGTGGTCATTGTGGTTGTTTTTTTCCGGGGGGGGGGGGGGGGGGGGGGGGGGGGGGCGTATGTACCTTTCTTTGTATCTTTGGCACTTAGCATAATACCAAGTACTGAGAAAGTACTTAAATGCTTATTACTGACTGACTAGATTGAAATGGGAGATTCTATTGACTAAAAAAAGGGGATAATACCTGGTCTACCAATCTCACACAGCTACAGTGAGGATAAAATGAGATAAAGGATGTAAAACTGCTTTGGGCACAAAAGTTCAGTAAAAGAAAGATATCCTTATTGTTATAGCCTAAGACTGAAGGGAGAAATATCAAAGAACCTTAGACAAATGGCTTAATCTCATTAGGCCTTGGCTTCCTAATTTCTAAAATGGAAATGACACCAACCATCATTGTCTCCCTCATGAGGGTACGGTGAATTTTCACATACTGGAGGCACTGAAACAGAGGACAGGTATTGTAAAAATTTCTACCATGAAGATGCCGGACTAGAGAAGTCAGAGAATTTAGAGATGAAAAGAAGTCATGTAGTCCTACCTTCCAACTTTACATATGAGGAAACTGAGGCTCATAAAGATTAAATGACTTGCTTAAAGTCACATAAACAGAAAGCAAAAGAGTCAGGATTCAAATTCAGGATCTGAGACTCAGTATAGTACAGGGGAAAGCACTCTGGCTCTGGAGTCTGTGGGCCTGGATTCAAATCCTATTCCCTACACTTACTACTCATGTGACCTTAGAAAAGTCACAACTTTCCTGGGCCTCCATCCCTTCCAATGTAAACCAGAAGAGCAGGACTAGACAGCTTCTGACGAACCTTCAGATCTGGCTCTACGACTCCAAATTGAGTGCTCCAGCCGGCTTTTTACCAAAGATTCTCAGTAGGTGCAGTTTGTGACTGAGGTGATAAGCACTGAGCTGTCTCTGATCCTACCACATGAGCTGGAACAGGCAACCTCCAGTCACTTAGGATGCTAAGACTTTAGGTGAATTCACTTATCTGAAAGCGTTTTAAAAACAGCCACATTAAATAAGTGAGGGAGGGCTGCACAAAGTCACCAGCCTCACTTTTTCCTCCAGAGCCATCTGGGTCCATTGGCAAGACATAGATCAGGAGGACTGGAGATGGCCCAGGATGCAGTGGGAGACCTTGGCTTCTTTAAGATAAGGTCTTTGACAGGTCTCAGTTTGACCGGGACAATGCCCAATTAGTGATTGAGGCTAGGTAAGAAATGAGGCAGAGAATGATGTCTTTTACCTAGTCAAAAACAAACAAACAGACAAACAAACAAACAAACAAAAAAAACAAAACAAAACCCACAAACAAAAACAATCTAGGAGCAGAAGACCCTTAGGGTTTCTGGCAAAAACAGAAACAATTGCTATTTACATTCACTGGGAGCCAATGGAGCACAATGACCAAATGGGGCTTGGCCTGGGACCTACTGTTAGCCAATAAATCAAAACTAGTGTGATTTGGAATTTCTTCTTAAGGGCCACACTAAACAAAAATAAATATATAAGGCAATATTAAGATAGGACTTCTGATCTACTTCACAGACTTCTTAGAGCCCAAACCTATATCATAATGAAGTAAGGAAGAGTAAAATTAAAGCTGAAAGACTACCTACCCCTAAAGGTTCTGCTTCCTCAGGATAAAGCAATAGACTCTTTATCCTCATCCCTCCACAAAAAACACAGACCAGACCACCGTCTTGTTGCCTTCATTATTACTTCAACAACAGCATCGAGATTAACAACTTTGAAAAGGAAACC